GAAGACAATTTTTCCATGGCCCAGGGGAAGGGGGGACTTCAGGTGGTGATGTGAGCGATGGACAGTGGGTGGCTGTAAATACAGATGAAGCTTCACTCCACGCCTGCCGCTCACCTTCTGTATGCACCACCCCGCTTCCTAAGTTTCATAGAAGAAAATTTTTCCCTGGATGGAGGGCAGGGGGAGCGCTCAGGTGGTTCCAGTTCCTAACAGGTCTATTAGGTTCCTAACAAGCCAATGCCCACTGGGGACTGCAGAGTTAAAGCACGCATATTATCTTATACACTAAGATTTTCAATTGATATCATGTCATGTCTTAAGCTCTGAATACGCTTTTGACTTAAAACTCTGAAATCTCTAACATGATCATTTTAAATAAAATGTTTACAGAGAGAAATAGAAAGGAAAATGAGAGAGGGGATTTGTTAAGTGGGTTTCTTAAAGAAATCTCCCAGAGTACATGTTGATGTCACTTCAGCAAACCATGTCAGATAGTTTTGACTTTCATCTAGTCAGAGGGAAAAATATGGACAGTTTCATTAGATATGTGTGAAGCAATATCAACCAATAAGGAGGTAAAGCTACATAAATTCAACTTATCCATTTTTAAAACACTTTCTCTTCTTTTATATACTGTTTTTCTGAGTTATTTCATATATTCCCATGGCTTTAAATACCATCTATATGCTGATGACTTCCAAATTAGTATTTCTAGTGTGGACCTCTCCAATAAATTTGATATTAATGTATCTAACTGACTACTTAGAGCACCATGTCATATTTGTTTCCTTCATGAAAGTTACCACAATTTATAATTATTTTTATTATGTGTCTGTTCACTTTTTTTACTATCTAAGTACTACTACACTTTCCAGACCACTATCACCACCAACCCTTACACTGGACTGGTAAGTTCCATGAAGTCAGAGACAATGTCATAGCTTCCTTGTCACTGTATCTCCAGTTATCTGGCACAGGGATCAGGGCTTAGCACATAGTAGACACTCTAATATTTGTTCAAAGAATGAGTGGAGATTGTTAAATGAATTCTAAGTTAATATAGCCACCCTCTGATTCTGACCAAGGTGTTCATATGTATATAAATTCCATCAGAAAAAAAATCTTATGACTCCTAGCAATATTTTTCAACAAACAAATCAATAAGCATCCAAAAGTTACCTCCATCGGTTTTAGCTGAGCGTTTACATTAAAACAAGGAATTTCCTGATACCACTCCCAGCATAAATTTCGCTCAACAATGACTTCAAGATTTAATGGCAGTAATAGATCCAGTACTTCCTGGTATGTATCATTAATAAATACAGATCTATAAATAGAAATAAAATTGTTTTGAATTGTTTCATATACATTCAGATAGTAAAAAAAAAAAGAGTAGCTGAAATTTATCATTTTGTATACGAATAGCAGAAATCAGTAATTTATTGCATATAAAGAGAAAAATAAAATCCATCAGGCTTTTTACATGTCAAAATGAGAGATGTTCCATCCCACTAGAAACCCAGGTGACTTTGTCTCATCTGAAGTGTTCCACACTACAGAGAAACGAATTATTAAAATAGAATTTTGCAATACAGTAAGAAGTGCCAAATTTATGTAAGTTGTACAGTAAACCACTAAAATAAGAATTATCTTTATACAGTTTATAAACAAACATTATGTAAGACCTCACTAAAAATATTTTAATTCACCAATTTAGATACGTAACAAAACACCACACATCCCCTTACTTTGTAAAAAATAAGTAGCACCATATGAAATTTCTATTTCTGTGAATCAAAATAGCTGAATATATACAATTTCATATTAAATTGAACCATATTTGCTTTTCCAAGCACTTATAAAGGTAGGTCTGATGCTCAGGAACAAAGAAAAGAGTAGCAGGCCACTGAATCCCTTCAAGTGGCAATGTGACCAAAGAAGCCTCCCACTGAACCTTCAAGTGACAATCTCAAAGTTACTCCTCAATAATATACGCATATTTTAATGGGTGGCAAATTCTTAAAGTAGGGTATGAAGCTATGACTACAGAATTTTAGGTATGATTTACTCAATGGGAGAGAAATATGGGAGTTCATCAAGGCTCTCACAGAATGCCTGGTGTCAAATCATTTTATGAATCAACTATAGAGTAACATTATACTTATATATGCATGCATGCTTGTAGTCTCCACTTAGCAGTAATAACTTAAGGAATCTAACAGTCCTATACTGCATATATAATTTTAATAGCTATGTATTACAATATATGGCTATATACTGTATATAGCCATTTATTGTATAAAGCCAATATGGCTATATACCATAATCATTTATTTAATTAACCTTCTATTATTAAAATTTTATGTTGTTTCCAATTCTTCACTGTAATAAATACTTGAATCATTATCTCTGTATATATCTTTGAGTAAATTTCTTTCCTTCGAGCAAATTGTAAGAAGGAAAATTACTATGTCAAAACATTACTTCCTCTGGAAAAACTTTTCTTATCAGTATTAACCTATAACCGGGTTAGATATTTTTCCTGGTGCTCCCACAAGTACCTTGAACTTTTTCCATCATTGCATTTAATATAATGAATTTTAATAGTTTATTATGTTCTCTGTGGTTCCAATTAGAATGAATGCTTCATGAGGACAAGTACTGTTTATCTTATTCTTTGCTATGTTGTCAGTACTTAGCTCAGATAATTGGCATATGTCATATTGTCAATAAATATTCGTGAAATTGCATTCAAGAAATTGGATTAATGTATGAACAACAATATAGGTAGTCACAAATATTAATACTCATCTTTCTTCACTTACTTTCTAAGAAGCTGTAATTATATTTTTAAATATCAATTATTTTAAAATTATTTCAGGCTGGGCGCGGTGGCTCACGCCTGTAATCCTAGCACTCTGGGAGGCAGAGGCGGGTGGATCGCTCAAGGTCAGGAGTTTGAGACCAGCCTGAGCAAGAGCGAGACCCCGTCTCTACTAAAAAATAGAAAGAAATGATCTGGACAACTAAAA